TGTAAACAGACCACAATATAGAAATATGTACACATATGCAGTTGTGACTGACGTGTCTTTTTCTGAATTTATACAAACACATTTCATTTTATAGTAAATTAGTTTAGCTAGTTTATGTTTATGAACAGAGACCTACAGATGCAGTTTAGTAATGGAAACTCATTTGTGAATCTGAGTTTAAAGTTTTTATTAAACTTAAACTTGTAAATAAATCTTAAACTGAAACTTTGCTTGTTTGTAAAGTGATTTCAGAGCCACTCAGTTCTACCTGATGGAAACTGTTTGCCTTCAGTGTTTTGTGCTGATGATAATTTTAATAGACATCAGCGTCACTAATTAATGACCTTCTATTAAAAGACTGGTTTACAAAGAGAGACACTGGAGTATTTTCACCTAAAATGAGTTAATGAAGCGAGTCTTGTTACAGTAATGATAATAGGACATTAAAGCCATAATTAATCTTTTAGTACTTTCACGTTTGATACTTAAGTACATTTGAGGGAAAATACTTTTGTACTTTTACTCACGTGGAGGTCTAAAGGGAGGAACTTCTACTTTTACTGGAGTAATATTTTAGCTTGGGTGTCTCTACTTTAACTCAAGCTCATGGTTTGTGTACTTCGTCCACCACTGCTAGCTAGCGTAGCTGGCTAAATATGAACAAAGTCTATCAAATTCAAACTACATATCCAAGAGCTCCACTTTCTGTTTTAATCATAAATATTACAGAAATCGCTGGCATGTTGTACAAAAACACAGAGCCTGTTTGATATGAGCAGAAGCAGTAAACAGGGCTAACGTTCCCTCACGCGCACAGCATTTTAGCGGTTTAAGCAGATATCAAATCTCTGGTTTAAGCTAAATCAGCGTTTCCATATTCACTGGCAAGCAGACACAACTCTTGTGTTCAATCACAAACTATCAAAAGAACACAGAGCTACCAGACTGTGTTTATGTTACTTTCTTCAGTCATTTCACTGCCGCTGATCTTTTTTTTTTTTTTTTAATTTTACCCGATTTTCTCCCCAATTTAGTCGTCTCCAATTCCACCCGCTAGTTAGGACTCCCCCAATCACACGATGCTATCAACGCTAGGAGGGTGAAGGCTAACACAGGCTTCCTCCGAGACCTGTGAAGCACCACCGCTTCTTTTCGAACTGCCGCTCACGCAACGTCACTGGACAGCCGAACGCGCTCAGAGGAAAGCGCCAACCGCCAGATCTGTTACGTCAGCTAACAGACGCCTGCGCTGACTAGCATCGCGCTGAGTGATGGGGGGAGAGGGAGGGGCCATCCCACCCACCCAGAGAGAGCGAGGCCAATTGTGCTCTCTCGGACTCCCGGCTACGAATGGCTGTAGCATCACCAGGGATCGAACTCGCGATCTCCTGATGATAGGGCCAACGCTTAGACGGTTGCGCCACTCGGGAGCCCCCACCGCTGATCTTTAATGTGATCTTGCAGCCAAGAAAATTAGGTCTGAGTATGATGTAGTGTGGCACCATGAAGCCATTTCTCAAAAAAAAAAAATCTTATGGTCTGATGAGCTGAAGTAATACACAAACTGAATAATTCCAGTGATGAGAATGCATCTGTTCACTGAGGCTTAATGATTCATTTAATTCAATGAAATAAAATGAAAACAGCTGTTTATGATGAAAACATGAGAATAGAAGCAATTATCAGCATCTCGAACCCTGATCTGTAAATAAATACCTTAACATTTATTATTTTTTTGAAAAAGTGAATCTGCACATTTCACCTCAATTTTAGGCCAATAATAGCAAAAGCATTAGTAGAATAATTTCAGTATTCACACAAAAGCACATCCACTTGACTTTCAACATGAAGGGGAAAGAATTAAACTAGACCATAATGGGAATCAAACACTGATCTAGCCCATTTAACTACCCACATTTAGATTATTTAAAAAAAATCATGATCTTTCCATGTATTTAAGACACAGAAGATCAACAATAAACAGAGTTTTAATGTTATCAGGAGGATAATTCTGTTCTACAAGCAGCCAGCAGGAACACTGAATCAGAGTCATAGAAAAAAACAACGGGAATTCTAATCCTGCCCTCTCATTTGGAGTTCCACCCTTTCCTTTTGGAGGTTTTCCAGCATGCAGTAACACATCCGCTCTCGTCCTTAAAGGTGCAGGCACTAAATCATGCAGCCATACACTGAGCGACTGGTCATTTACCTGCACTCAACACCAACATTTAAAAGCGCTGTTGTTCTCTGATTTATATTATTAAGTTGTCTTTGTTTTATTATCTCACTGTCACTGGATCCTCTCAATTACAAAGATCGGTTATGCTCATTTTCAGTGTTCAGAGGAGTGGCTCATTATCTGGTGAAGAGTACGCTTTCTCTTTTAATTTAAATAATTTAATTTAGGTTATGGCCTCTCCTACATGGCAACTTTATAGGAAAAATCATTCTTTAAATTCTCACAGAACGGAAACATACAAGAACCAGTAACTGTATAAATCATCTGATGTTTCATTTAAAAATAATGAAAGCACTTTGCACACAAACGAAAACACACAAACACACTCAACCTTAAATATCCATAGCTTCTACCCTAGTTTATATGGTTCTTGGGCCAGTCAGATCAAAGAAATGTGTAATTGGTTTGATTGAATTCAGAGGTTTGGAATTTGTTACTGTAAAAAATGGTTTTACACAATGTGTTTACAGCTAGTTAATAATGACACAATTAGTTTGAATGACTCTGCACTGTGAATGAACTAATTCATCTATTTTATGGAGCTTTGCTTGATTTTAGTGGTTTTGTGTCTGTTATTGACTGTTTACCTTCAAATAAAACTTATTTTAACGACACCTAAATATGTTTTTTTAATAAACAATCATTTTAATGAAACACATTAGCTTATTTGGAACAGGGGTGTAAGGGATGTTTAAATTAATATGGTTTTATTTCATCTTTAGAATATTTCTGTCCCGCACTAGTTTTCATTTTGTGAAATATGTACGAATGATAGCGTACTGTTGTTCTGATATTGCGCGTCTTGTAAAGGATGTGATACTCTCGCAGCCGGGTCACGGGCGCTGGGCGAAGGCTGGAAAAAACAAGGAACTTGGGAGGTGTGAAGTGGAAGAGAAAAACGGCAAATCGAGCCCGTAGCTAGAGCGGGAACAGGGAATTTGTCTTTGAGTTGGGTTTTGTAACTATAATGCAAGTGTTTTTCCACATTTATATTCTAATTCATGTTCGAAGCTACGATTTGGTAATGCTAATTAGCTGAAAGCTCTGTTGAAACTGGTCTATTTCGCTCTGTGGTAGTGCTAGCTAATGTGAGGCTTTATGCTGCTGTAGAAGCTGAAACTGTTTGGTTATCATTGTCTAAATCACTCATATATATGTGGAATGCTGTATTGTTGACTTTGTTTTGTGGCATATTATGCAGGTTAATCATAAGTTTGTGTATGGAGAAGTAAATGCGCTTCTATATGTATAGTTCTTAACCGACTTATTGCACATGAGCTAAGAGGCTGCGTGAGCAAGCTAAAATATAGCCTTGTTTCCTTATTACGGTATCAAATGTCCATATTCTCATTTTTACTGGAGAAGTTGAACCGTATTTTGTTTTCTTCATTAAAATGTTTTTCTGTGTTGGCTTTTCCATCGCTCTTACTCTTACAGTAGCTCTATGACATCACACGGCATTCAAATCTTCATAAACCATCAGTCCGCTTTACTACTACTGGGTGGCTACAAGGAGCGTGTTTACAAAACACAATTAACCCATTGAGCACAGCAAGATTGTTTTGCTTTTCAAGATGTATATCTTTATTTTAAATTACAAAAACAGTAAAATATAATTGTATGAGAGATTAATATTTCATTTTAATGTCACTTATCCTGCTGAAATCAGTGTCTTGGCTCTAAAAATGTCTCAGTGTAGACTTTCCACCTTAAATGGAGCAGCAGTTTCATCCTGGCGCCCGTGAGGTGTTTGTGAAGTTAGTTAGCTGCTTCCAAACATGATGAATCCACTACATGATCCTGAAAGTTTTATTTTATTAAATCTATATGATTAGAGTATGAGTCTGATGTTGATCTGCACTCTCACTGTGATGCTTCATATGTGCTGTTCAACCAGAGCTGCGTCTGAATATCTCATTAAACCTTAAATTACAGATCAGCCAAAGTCAAGGAAATTATGTAGGAAAGTTGGTGTTTTTCAACTATTCTAAACCAGCCCCGACTGACGAACCCTGCCACAATGGCGGATACCCATAAACCACTGCGTTATGACATCGTGTTCCCACCCTACATGTATGTGGGGGTAAATTCAGCCATGTGGTTTGATGAAGTGTAAATCAGGGACTGGTGGGAGCTGCTTTATTTCACACAGCTGAAGCTGATCATCAACAAAAGATTCGTGAATCAGATGCAGAGTTCGTTCATCATTCAGCTCTGATCTGTGATCTTGGAGGAACAAGAGCAGATATTTCTGTTGACTAACTGCTACAGTGACATAATAAAAGTACTTTTTCTATCAGATTCCCCACATCCTTCCTGATCTCCAGATCATCACTGCTCCCTGAAATCGGTAATGATGGTCTTGGAAAGTCATTGCGCTGGTTTGCCCGAATTTCTCTCTCTAACGCCCCCTGGTGGAGCTTTTCCCCACACCACCATCTCTAATCCACTTCCTCCTAAACTGTAGCAGCCTTGGCCTCGGAGAGCCTCTAAACGGGTGCGATTTTATTCAACTTGGAGCTCAAGTTCCAGTAACCCCTTCACTAAAACTATGAGACAAAGTAAAATACAAACAAAGACTCTTCCACCAGTTCAGAAGATGCAGCGTTAGAAACAAAGGAGATTCAGTGTAACGCCTGAAAACGGGTGGGTTTAGTGACCCAAACGAACCGAACAGAACTTTACAGGAGCTACAAAACACACACAAACACAGCTTGGCCCGTTTCTTATAACACATGTTCATCAGCTTAGAGTCTCATAC